CTGCAATGTTAAACACAACGGTTACCTTCAAATGTAAATTTTGGTTCTTGCACAATATTTTATCTTATGATATGGTTTTTGTAGACTTTTTTTTGATTTGGTATCATCGTTTCATACCTGCTTCTACTACAAATAAATTATAATTCTTGTTTTGTATAAGAATATTTAAATCAAATTGACATTTATTATTCTACCTTAACAATCATAACATTACAAAGTATCTAGACCGGACCGAAAAAATATCAAAACCGTACCAGAACCATTTGTTTTTTCCTGAACCGAAATCACAACCAAAACCGTTATTCTTTGCCTTAAAAAGAATTACAGAGAACCGGATCGCATATTTCTTTGTACGATTTTTACGGTTTTTTTGGGTTCTGAGTTTCACACTGCTAGAAGTTGTTGAATATTTGGTTCACTTTTCTTAGTTACAAACCCTTTTTTTGTGTGAATGCGATTTGCGAAATAAGAAGAATGTCCCGAACACCATTCAACAATGCTCATAAATATTTTCTGTCTATTTGTTGTTAATTCAATATGTAGCTGCCTGTTATCATAAATTTCAATTGGAAGGGCCTTTGTCTAAAATTAGGCAATAATTGTCAAAAAGGTATAGCAGTTAGGCAGGGGTGGTACTTTAAGGGCGGATTTGTTTTGCTGTTATATATAATATTTTTAAAACAAAGATTTAGTTAGGGAAATGCCGCTTGTATGTTAGGTACTCTACCGCCACAGACAGCATTATTTGTTAAAATTTTTTATATTTTAAGTGTACGGTAAAGCTTTTTTATGTTTTTAAACAATTTTATTTATAATGTAAATCTAATTAATATATTATCATTGTTATAGATAGTACATACATAATGCTCTCTCATGTAAAGGGTGTCCTATTAACAAAGATAACCGGCCATATCTTTGGAATCGTTAATTGCACGGCTCTGGGAAAAAGATTTTTTAACAAAAGCTACCGACAAATCGCTGGAAATTATTTTCAAGTTTCTAGGTTTACCGATAGAGGGCGTAGGATACATGGTTAAGCAGAAAAATGTTGTTTTTCCTAAAATATACCCAACAAACATGCATAAAAAAATACATGTAAATGTTGTATCATTTTGATGCAGCAAAACTAGCTCATAAAATGTGAGGGGTGGGGAAAGGAGAATATCGCATTAAGGAGTTCAATGTAATTTTGGTTTAGGTTAACCGATGTTCAACATAATTGTTCTTATTGGAAGGAACTCTCTTCGTGTACCCAGATTTTACATGTAAAGAGTCTTTTTTACTAAATGCGAAGAGTGGTAGAGGGCGCAGTTTGACATAAACCTAAACTGCGTAAGTGTTCTTAACTTTCACAAATTTAAATTGCAATATTTATATTAATCCTTTTTTCTGCTTAGCCGTGTATCTTACGCCCTCTAGCGGCAACCCTAGAAACTTGAAAATAATTTCCAGCGATTTCTCTTGGCCGCTTTTGTTCACAAAATGTGCATCCATAGATATGGCCTATGACCTTTATTAATAAAACATCCTGTACGTACAAATTTAATAAATAATTGCAAATTAAGTTGCAATCTTGGGGAATTTCCTTTAGTTTAGCTTCACTCCATGGTTATTTTTATGATTTATTAGCGTGAGGTTGAAGACTAATATACCGGGTGTTGACACAATTTATTGTATCTTGCAGATTTTGTGTACGTAGTTACATAGATTCGTTTAGGAGTAGTTAGATAGGGTGGCATTTTCCACAGGTGTATGTTCAATTGCGATGTTTGCTGTAGACTTGTGCGATAAGTCGGGCTCTTTCATGTGGGGGCGTAAAATATTTATTGAATTTGTATTGTCATAATCTTTTATTAATTAGTAAATGAAGATCCCTTTGTTTAAAACTAGCATAATTGGTTTTCGAGCCAAAATGAAAGGGATACAACGTCAGGCCTCCTAGGTATGGTTGCCTCACAAGCGATTTTAGAACTGACTAGCCATGCGAATGGTTTTTCTTACCCCTCAGTTCAAAAATGTTGGCTGGCCGAGTGAGCCTGATAAAGAGCTTGAAATGGTCTTAATTAAGGTCCATAGAATGAACCCTTTCGATGGTAATAAGAGTTATTTGTTTTTTACATATATTATTCAATTCTTATTTCCAGTGTCTCCGACGGATCTGTGAATTTTTGATGTTGTTTGAATACTGTTATGTAATGGGTCTCGAAACCCAACTTGGTGTGCAAATATTATACCCCTGTATTATGTAATGAGGCAGGTTATACTCTATCCAAAGGCGGGCGCCTGAAATCACACCAACAAAACCGTGTATTATTTTATTACAATAGGGCTGACCATGACCTGGCAAACTGCAGGCGACTGAGCTCTACCTATATGTATATTGTGTCCCTTATTCGCCTGTGCAACCCTGGTGTGAATGTCGGGCTGCTTTACATAACAGTGTTAATAAATATACTTATTTCCGTGAAAAATAGTGGCACAATATGTAAAATTGTAAAATGCAAATTTGAAAAGAAATAAGAATCCTGCGAGTACATTTCCTGGAAGGTTTTCAGTAACTCTTTTGCCTCCATTCTAACCAATGAAATCCCCAAGGCTACTCCTGTGTGATTATGAGAGGGAAACCCTTCGTAGCATTTCGAATTTTAAATGTTTGAACGTTTTAATTAAATTTGGATTTGAATCGCTGTCTTTTTTCGTTCTCGAGTTAGACGATGGGCAGGCGGACGGACAAAATCATTACATAAAAGGGTGTCTTTCAAAAAATTCCCTTTAAAATGATTTTCATGTTTGGAGAAGTGTGTTACATTAAAAGGTGCTGAAAAATAATTGTGCTTGAAAATATACAAATAAAACTACATTTCATTGTTTGAACAGTGACTCTCTCCCTTGACAGTATTACTAGAAACATTCAAATGAAATTATAACGAAGCACCTATTTTCTGTCTTGAAGTTTACATACTTTCATAACCACCCGGTATCTGGAGGCATTTTGTTACGAAAAGGGTCGTGCCGGAAGTATTTATGTTGCTTCTAGGAATTCAAAATCGAAGGTAAAAGTAATTGATTTAATTTATAGGGTTGTGTTTCAGCCGTCATTACCGAAAACAAAAGCTGTAATTAATGTGTCGTTTGCAATCGTTCCGGTCAAGATATTCCAATTATCTTTGTTGCATCTGAAAGCACGAGGCAAATTAATATTATAAAAGAGACAATGGGAGTTAATTAGAAATATGAATTTAGGAATTTCATCTCGCACATTTAAGTAAGTATAATTACCAGTAGATAATTCAATGAGTTGCGGCAAACAGCATCCGATTAAGTCGTGAGTGGTCTCAAAAGAGACTTTTAACTTTTGACTTTTAGAACCAATTACACATTTTTAGGACGTCCGCATGCCACCTAATTAATTAAGAAAATTTTAATACGTGAGTACAGTAATTTTTGATCTTTTCCGTAAATCAATCTTTTTACCTTTTGTAAGTACCGTTCATACCGTTTCAGTTGCGCAGACGCTTCTCGGTTGGACCTGGTTTTTACAACTCGTAGAAATCGATTGGCGCAGGTTTGGCATCGGTGTGTGTTTTCGTTCTCGAGTGCCATTACATAATTCCCCTAAGAATAGATTTAATGTTGGAGAAGTATCTTACATCAAGCGGTGATGTTTAGAAATGATAATTTTCCTTTAAACTTCCTTGAAATTTACTTTTATGCTGATTATTAATTTTTGTTGCTTTCTAGATCACAAATAAAAATTAAGAGATCCTCTTCTCGTTCTTATTACCGTACTACTGGTAATCTTCTCTTCCATATAAAGTAATGAATGACCCACTTCTTAAAAATGCTAAAAGCGACGTCAAAGGTATTTCGGGTGAAAAATATTACAAATGTATAGGTATCGAAAGAGCACATTCATATTTCCATCTCGAAATAACCAAATACGATTTCATGGACTTGCAATGGGATTCAGAGGCTTAAATCAACCCCTAAAGCTAAACCGTTTAAAAATTCATACCTAAAGTCTGCATCGGAAAGGACATACCAAAAAAACCTAGGCAACGCCTTGTAACTACTGAGAAACCAAATTTGGGACTTTTTCCAGACGAAACATTGTGTAAAATTGGCTCTTTTTTGGAAAAGGCGTCGATCTCTCCCTTTGAACCCCATTTCAAGTCGATGAAACGCCACATTGACCTTTTCTATTAATTTTTAAACGCTTCAGGGGTTGATTTCACTCCACGAAGCCCATTACAAATCCTTGTTTCGCGTTGGAGAAAGCAATTTTATATTCAATAAGTAAGCGCTCTTCCTTCTTTTGAATGCTTTAGGGGTTGACATTAATCCTTAAATCTCATAGCAAGTTACAACATCGTTATTTAATTACAGTGTTTACTTCATGTATCGTGTAATTGCACAGCTACACGAAATTCAACCCATACGAACAAATTAAACGACCCAAATTTTCCCTTAACCCGCAATACAAATTGGTCTTTGTGCGGTGATAATTGTGCCTGGCATTTCCAATTTACAAGAAGGCCTATTGGTACCACATGTTACAATCGCACGTAATTTCCGTTGGGTAGGTGTACGAAAACAGTTGGGGGGGAAAGCGGAAACGAACAATGATGTAAAACCATTGACAATTAAATTACGAACAAAAATTCCCGTAGTGTGGTTAAATCAAAGACCTTCCGATCGTAACGCAATAAAATACACACACGAAAAAATTGTGTTAAAAAAAACGAAGTGTCATCTTACGAGTTATTGATTACGCCTTCAAGTCACGCTCGGATTTATAATACGAAAAACAGATGGAGATTGACGTTTCATGAAGCACGAAAGTGCAATTGTGTATTATCTACTAAATTTATCTCGAGTTTGATACGCAAATTTACATTTAGGTAAAATGAAACTTATTTGGGAGTAATGGAAATTCGCACGACCATTATTTACATTGTTCACATACGGAAAATTATATTATTCAAAAATTAAAAACTTACGTCCGAATCTGCTCCCTTGTCCACTCCTGGGCAGCTAAATGTGACATACTCGTGGCATCTTTTATGCACAACGAAACTGCATACTGCAACAAAGAAAAATCACGTTATTTTGTATGCGGAATTGCAATTTAAAATTGGAGCACAATTAAAGCTACCGCAGAAGATGTTGAAGGAAAATGCGCTGGGGAAATTGAATTGTTTCCATAGATTACGAGCCTTTGTAAGGGTTTGAAAACGGTAGTGCAACAATAGATGCTCTGTACTATGTTTTAATTAAAATTCATACAGTAATCTCATTTTCCGATTTTACTTTGTAAAAAAATCGCTACTGGCTTTTTATTTAGGTTGCATGAAGGCACATTAAAGGACCACATGTTTATTTTACTTTCTGTTCAGACTTTAAGGTTAAATTCAGGCTTCAGACTAAATCTGAATTTGGAGTAATAGTAAATTAAGATTTTAAAGTTCAAATACAGAGTCAGAGGTCTGAATTCCAGTTTAAATTCTGAACTATTTGTTAACGACCCCTTCTGCATGAAACGTGGAATTTTTTTAATTACAGTACAGGTGAATTAACCATTTTTTAGGCAAAAAAAATTGTGAATGGAGGTATAACAATTAAATACAAACAAAATAAATACGTGAGCAAGGGCATGGGACTAAGTTTTTGGGACGAGTGAAAATCGTATTGCGGCAATGTCTGGCAAAAGTTCAGGTGAGAGATAAACGTGTGAAAAAACTTTTTTTCCAGTCACTTTCTCACATAACCCCAAATTCATAAAAAAATTGCGGAAAAGGTTTATTGTTCATACCCCAAAAATTGATTTCATTTTAACGAGACTTGGTTAAAGTATACTTTCTTATGTCTCAAATAACTACACTTTTTTCAATATAGAAAATTGAGAGGATGAAAATTGTCCTTCAGAGATTTAATATGGTAGAGTTCCATTTCACGTCATTTTCTTTATATTTATGTATAAACAATGTCAATCATGACATTGTATTTGAAATTAATACATTAAAATTGATTCGTGTGCCGAATTGTTAATTAATGTTCATCAAAATTTTATGTCGTGGATATGATTACGTCTTAACACACAACAATTTTCCAAATTGATCGTGCAGTCATGGTTACATTATTTGTTTATTTTATGTACAAATGATAAGGTATTTCTTGGAATACTGAGATTAAGTAATTGTTGTATATAAAATTTGTATTTGTTATTAAGTTGTTCATTACTCCAAATGTGACAGTTTCGAGTTGATTTATTAAGTTTTTCCTTTATTTGTGAGAGATAAAGGTAATGGTGGGAGATAACGTGGCTCTTTAATCATAAAAGGAATTGCATTTTTAGGTTGGAATTGTTCGAATTACTTAAGAAAAATTCGTAGAACTAGGGTGTACGTACTGTATCGAGGTGTGCATTGGGTGTTATCATTTATAGTCAGTATTTATTGTGCTAGGCTTTAATGGATGTCAGAAACCTTAAATGCTCTAGGAAATTACCTCAATAAGTTTGTAAACATTGACCGGCCTCATGCCAATGAGGACCAGTGACCGCAAATTGTAGTAACAACGAGGAGGAAATAAATAAGACGGTGCAGCCACGAAGAAAAAGAAGTTTTCGTTAACAATACCAGTAGTTAAAATGTGAGAATCGTGGTTTTCTTCTAAGACAGCTCCTACATGTTTAGGAGCTAATTTTTTCCAATAATCTTGCCCAGAAGGTACGCATGTCTTTTACTATTTTTGGTACAGGAATCTCTAGAATGTACTGAACTTTATTTACCGCATATCCAAGGTATTTTAATTGAGTTCTGAAGAAATGACATTTGTTTTGATTGATAGATCATCCTGATAGTTTAACTTTATCAATTATCCTTTGAAATGCCGCAGGCGCGTTTGTTAACTCAAAGGGCATTCTTTTAAAGTGAAATAGTCTTCTTCCAGGTATTGTGAAGGCGGTCAGTTGTTGAGCAGTATCTTTTATTGGCACTTGCCAGTATGCAGAATGGATCTCAAAAAGTGACCCTTTTAACTGGTCTAGCATTGCAGAGATGTAAGGAATCGGATAGACGTCAGGCTTTGTAGCTTTATTTAATTTCCTATAGTCGACGCAGAATCTAAACGTGCCATCTTTCTTTGGTACCATTAATATTGGAGCTGACCATCCACTACTACTAGAAGGCTCGATCACATTACACTAATTCCCATACTTGTTTATTAAGATCCGGAATTATTTCCATTTCTCTCCAAAAATCCATTCCCAATATTAAGGTTTAAAGTTTATGGAATACTCGGTGTACCAGTTTTGTTTTAACTTGTAGGGCAATGGCTAGTGAAATCGAATTAAGTGATTGACTTTTCCATTGGCCATTTTGCATTGACTTGGTGTAGTATCTTCAATTTTCAAATTGAGGTGCTGTACGTATTCCCATCCTGCATGTCCTAGAATTGTGCAACCGCACCGCTATCCAGTAATCCTAAAAATGTTTTGCCTAATAGCGTAACTTTTAAATATGGACGATTGTCTCCTTGGGAATGAAGCTGTGTTGGTGTTTTTGTAGGCGATCTTGAAGTATACGCTGGGTTTTAAAATGTCTTATCGAGTTTTTGAGTATGCGAGGAAAGAGTCGACGTTTCAATTCCTCGGATGTTCGTTTCCCGCGCATTTTTTATAGGTTTAATGTTTCTCGAGGATTACCACACCTAAAACAGTGTATCTTCTTTGGTTCCCCACATTATCTGGCATGATGGCCAGGTTTGGTACAATTGCGATTTGCTGTAACCATGTTACTAACTCCTTCACGTTTTCTAAAAATTCGGTGAGACTTCCATCACCTCGAAGTACTAGTCCCATTTGTGCAGTGGCAATGTCTTGGGATAATAATTTTTATGATTCGTTTCAGTGTAGCGATGATCATTTGGATTTGTTGTGTAATTCGTATCTAGAATTGGATGAGAATGTACCTAAGCACCACTATCGACTCGTCATGTCAGGAACAAGTCCATAATAACTGTTAACAATAAAAGAATTTTCCTGAATCCTCAACCACAGTGAACTAACGCTACGAGGGAAAGCCAAAACTAAAGGGATACGGTTCTGTTAGCATTCTCAGATGCTTGGGATTTTTTTTATATATTATACCTGCACCAGAATCGCTGTTTAAAACGGCCATTAAAGAACGCCGAGCTTTAAAGGTTACTTCAAATATGACATATGAAACTATAGAATTGAAATAACAAATCTTCCCAGATCGCGTTCTGCAAATGCAAAAGATGTCTTTGTCTCCGTATTCCTTGTTGGCAGCTTTCACAAACGCACGTGGTTTAGAGTAGGTATGCTGTCAAATCTGTTCCAGTTTTGAATCACAGTATTGATTGAAGTTTTGAATGAATGTACCAAAGGGCGAAAGATTTAAATACCTTTGACATTTCCTTCATATGTGCGATGCATTTAAGGCTTTGTTTGAAAGATTTTCCTATTCATCCATATTCATTGTAATAGGCTTTTGCATTTGGATTTTTCAGGTACCAACTCTTTTTGCTTCTGCAACAAGCCACTAAATGGACGGTGTATTATTTTCTTCAACCGAAGTCATTTTATTTTCAAAAAACGCGGCGATTTTAAGCAAACATTAAGTGACGTTTCCATGGCAATCAGGGACAACATGATTTCATTTTATTTCCCTTATTCTTAAATTATATTGCAGGTACAAAAGAAAATACTATACGAAACGCGTGTATAATTGCAACGTTGCGCGTACTTTAAAGACTTGATTATACACTTGTTTCACATAAACTTCTCGCCAGGAAAGATTGCCAGTCACAGAACACTTGATCCCGGTCTACAATCTGTTTTTCTCAAGATGTGAGCGACTTCCGGGATAGTATCGTGTCAATGTTGAACAAAAAGACTTTTCGTTTAACATTGGCACAATCCTATTCCGGAAGTCGCTCGCATCTTAAGAAAAACTTATTGTAGATCGACACAAGGTGTACTGTGACCGGCAATCTTTCCTGGCGAGCGTTATATTCATCACTTACTTCGTTACAGATTCAGATTTTAAAATCATACGCAATGAGAACGTCCACTTTTAAGAGAAATTATAATTTAATGCCATTATTGCAAAGATCGAGCCGAGTCTAATGACAAAGAATTAATTAAACAATAAGAAATACCACCGCATTCATCAATTCAACTAAGAACAAAGACAAAGAAAACGATGACAATGGTTTGAACATAGAAAAAACAAGCGCAAGAGAGCAAATCTCAGAATGCCTCAGTCCCAAATCGACTGTCAACCGAGAGGATGGACGAAAATCCTTCAATCAATCAAGTGAAGAGAATTGCAAGCGTCGTAATTCGCCTTCTTTGTAACGACCTGAACTATCGCAATATTGCTTTTCAGTCCACTGCACTAGGAGGCCCAAGGCATCACGGTTGTGTTTCCAATTCATTTGATTGGTGATTTCAATAAGTTTTTTTCCTATTTTAGATGCTCGCGAAGTAATATCAATGTTCTTTGTCTTTATTATGCGCTATATGAAGCACTGTATGATCGTGAATAACCAAATTGTTTTAAGCGAGATATCTCAACTCGCATGAAAAGCAATTGCAGATAATGGCAATCGGTAAACTTTCATGTGCAATGGACTAATGGAGAGGGAGGCTCGCCAGCTAATATTTTCCATTGTTGATTTCCGTCCTGATTTCGTCTTGTAAAGTTGCAAGTAAAAAGTACTGAAAAAAAAACGTTATGATATATTCGCACGATAGTCGTAAAAACTAAATCTGTTAATGTACTAAAAACATGGCGTCAATATTCCGCTTCCATGGTAGATCTTTGTTATAGACCGGCTAATTTGCACACATACGCGTAAGTATGGATTTTTCATTTTCTTGTTCATTGGTCAGCATTACGGCCTCTCCTTTACTGCCTAACAGAGCGACCTTTATCGGGGAAAGCTCTAGAATTAGAAATTTGGATTCACGTGAAACTACTGCTGGCGAAATTTAATGATTGGATTGACGCAGAAAATTATACGAATGTTATCCTTAGGTTCGTGGTTGGCTCGATT